TAAACCATCTCACGATTTATTAAAATGCTTTAAATTATAATAAAGAAGACGAATGAAATATTACCGTGATATTCATTTTCTGCAATTTATTAAAATGCTGTAAATTATAATAAAGAAAAATGAAATATTACCGCGATATTTATTTTCTGCAATTATATTCGTGACAAGTTTGTTTGGACGTTATCATCGATTGATTGAGAGTAGCTGTTGTAAAAGCAGTGCCGTTTATTTGATAACATCCAATTTATTTTGTACGGTACAGGTAATTGATTAATAAAAATCGTCTAATTATTTTTTAATATACATTCTTCAACGCTGACTGGGATTTTATGTAATTTACAAATAGATCGATGTAGATGTTTTCATTTTCCGAATTTATCTCTCGAAGCGAACGTTTAAATATCTATTTTAAACGAGAGTACCCTTAAACGATAATTTTTAATTACTTCAACCATGATTATACGTAAATTGTGGTTAGGCGAAGCGTAAAAGTAAGAGATTAATAGATTCGTTTCAAGGGTGTAATTATTTCCGTGCACAATATGGAAATCGTGAAATTAATTTCGAGTCGATTATTAAACATGAACTAATCAGTATTAATGAAGTTGCGATTGATGGGTATAACTCCGTAGCAAAATCACTTTTGTGTACAGCTTCACTGAAATTATAAGCTGTGTTTGTTAAATTAATAAAAATATGTCTTTAAGGAAATTACTATTCAGATCTATAATAGATGTAATAAATAATAATTGATATATAGAAAAATATGTAAATGCACTCTTTTCAAAAATTCTTAATATTCTCAAAAAATTATTTACATAAAAATTACCCCTGTGTTTTCATACTTTTCAAATGCTTCTCTGCCTTCTATAAAAAAAAAAAAAAAAAAAGTATATACACTGAATTAATATTTCTATCATTCAGTTATGTTAAAATTTCCTCTAAGTTACATTTTCTAAATGCTTCTCTGCCTCTTACAAAAAAGAATTAGATGATTAAAAAGTATACACACTGAATTAATATTTCTATCATTCAGTTATGTGAAAATTTCCTGCAAGGTACATTTATTAAAATTATTTCAGTGCCGGTTTATAACGTCAATCCGAAAGCGGCAAACACAAAACACGTTTCAGTCGATTAAAAAATTGCAAACGGTACGTGATTCGAAAATAATAGATCGGCGTTGAATTAGAGCGGACACCGCTCATAAACGGGATTAAGCTCGACACTGTGGAGGATTTCTCGTTACGAGATGGTGCTCGGTGTTGCTTAAACAACCAGCAACGACGGGGTATAACGTGGCATAACAGGTTGGTCGCGAGATAATTTAAAGTCCCTTTAAGGTCGGTCAGTCGCGGAACTGGGGCGGTTTCCATTAAATCCTCGTTTGCACGAAGACAGATGCGAGAAACAGGGATGAACGGAGGGAGAAGAAAAAAGGGAAACGGGTTAAAAGGCACTCGCATCTTCATCTCATTTGCGTAAGTGCTGTTGTTTAACCTCACGACAGTTATCAATATCGGGCAATATGTAAGGGTTCGTTTTTTTTCTTGGCAATATCTTCGGATGAGAAAATTATTCCGATCCGGAGATCTGACGTGGTCTGAGTAAATACGTGATATCGTTTCAGTAGATATGATTGTTCATTTTGTCTAGGAAATTGAAAATTTTAATTGTGACGAAGCTGATTTAAAAATATTTCATTCGTAAATATAATGGATCAATTTTTAATAATGCAACATGGGCACATAAGGAAGTGGGAACAGTCAGATATTTTAATTGAAGTATAAACCGTTGAAGAAAATAATAAGACGTGATGTACAGTTTTGAATAGTAATAAATATTACATTATTTTTTTACCAGTGGTTGCATAAATATTTTTTTAAATAATTTTCACATTTCGTACTGTATATCTTGTAAATAATTAACAGAGACAAGTGAAGCAATTAGTGTACAATATTTCAGGCAAAATTGCTGCAAAAATTATTAGAGAA